GGGGGGGGGGGGCTGATGTGACACTAATGATTTTGATTGATTGACCTAACCCTAGTTAGGTTGATGTAAAGGTAATGATGGTACACACCCTATATTTTGCCCTAAGCATTTCTCGTTTCAGCTTTGAGGACCCAGTCACTCCTCTCTTAACAAAACTGCTTTTGGGGACAACCAATTGTCATGCAAGTTGATTGTGATAAGCTGGGCTAGGCACTTCACCAGGAAGCCGGAAAGTAAGTCCTTTCTCCCTCTTTCCAGGTGAGGCAGCTGCCGTTTTCTGGTCAGAGGCAGCCTGCTACGGAAAAGATGTTCACGCTGCATTTTCACCTAGCATCCTTTATCTTCTGCTGAGATAAAGAACCAATTTGCTTCAGGTAAGCTTCATTTTGGTGAAATAAACTGAAACTATATTCCAAGGTCTCAGAATCAAATTGAGTGATAGGGCTTGCTTGACAAAGTTTGGCTAAATAAATAATCTCCTCCAATCATGTGTCTAAACTTTTTCCACTACCCTCTCAAAATGGACTCCCAATGTATGCACAATGATTTTAGACCAACAGAGTTGGAGTAGATCACAAAAAGGGATTTTTTCCACCAAGAAGTCCATCCCTCCCCCAAAAAGACCGTGTCCACCCATTAGTCCTTTTGAGATCACATCATTTTCATTTATCACCCAGGTCACTACTCAGAAAGAGAAAGTTTAACCCTCATCTAGCCAGTCTCTGGGCAGGTTCAGTTTTCCCCATTGCAGAGGTTCACTTGTTAGATGCTCGTAGGACTACATCTTTAATTTGTAGTGTTTCACTTCTTTCAAGGAGTGTCAAAAGATGCTATTCCTGCCTGAGTTTTAGTTTATTAATGCTTTTGGTTCACTGCTTATGAATGCCTTTTCTTCACCTTTTGTCTCCTTTTTTCTCAGGTTTTCCCCCTGAACTTCCTTTCTTGAGGCTTTACATAAGACAAAAATAAAGAATTTTCTAGCTTTCACTTATGGGCCATATTTGATTCTCAGTTAGCAGCAGTTGTCTATATAATTGTTAGTTGGAGTGGTTTTTATAGTTGTGTTTAAATGTCTTGTAACTGAGAATAGAATTTGCCCTACGTATCTGTGCACAGTGTATTGCAACATACTCCTTTACTCTTGTTTCGCCTTTTGTGATTGAGCCACAAATTTCAAAACAACTTGACATTTTATTGCAAAGTACTAGACCAGAAGCTAGTCCTTCTAGACCAGTCCTCACTGGTGAGTTTTTCAATTCTGTCTCACTTGTCTGTCTTAGATAATCCAGCTCCATGTACAATAGAGAGCCTTACTTTACTTATGGTGTAGTGTGAAAAAATACTATAACTTAGAAATAAAATCCCAGCAATAACTATTTAGCTTCCTCCCTGAAGACAAGCAGCATGCTAACAATCTGTTGTTATGTTGTAGAGAAAATTACAGCTCATAAAAATTAATCCTTAATATATTATTGTTGTTTTGTATTCTTTTTTTCTCTCTTGTTTACAGATAAGTACAAGTTTTTATCTATTGTACCAGATACCTCCCATGAGCTTAAAAAAACACAGTACCAGATTTTCAAAATTGCACGTGTAATTTGTCCATTCTATTATAAGAATTGTGCATGTATTTGCCCCTGTATCTATGCTATGAGCTCCATCTAGTATGTCACAACAATTAATACCATTTCTTCTTTTCATGACATGGCACCGAGATTGTTGACCATGTCCATATGAATAAAGAAGTCCCAACCCTTCTATAAGAATATGCAGATAGCATGAGCTGATGATACAGGGGTGTTGCTTAAATATTATAAGCATATTTCTTATAATAATTGTGATTCAAATATGTGAAAATGTTTCCAATTTTAGAGCAGACTACATTTACATTGCAGACTCTGAGTCCCATTGTACAAGATGCACAGAAGTCTTGGTCTGAACTCAGGTGAAATCTTAACCTTCTAGAAGTCAAGGGGGCTTTTGCCATGACTGCAGTAGGACCAGGATTTCACCCCAAGTATTTGTTTGACATTTGAAGCTCCAACAGCTTGTATAAAGACAGTTCACCCCCACTTTCTAGAGTTACCTTCTTGTTAACAAGTTAAACATTAAATTGCAGCTGAGCAGATGCATTGTATAGTGAAGAAAGTTAAAAGAATTACCGTTAGTCTCTCATAACAAAATATTCTGGGTTTTTTTTAATAAGTCAGGATGTATTCCTAAAACAACAATGCAGTACTTTAAAAACAAAAGGCTCCTGAGGACTGACAACAATAATTAGTTTCTTCAGATAAAATGTGCTGTTTGACATTTGCTTCCCTCCCCACACCATTCAGAGCTGCTGTCGTTATTATTTATATTAGAGTAGGGCTTAGAGACCCTGGCTCAGAGTAAAGTCCCACTGTGCTAGACCCTCCACCAGAACAAAGCAGGAGACAATCTCCCCCCTAAAATGTTTGCTATGCAAATATATAAGACAGAGGGTGAAAGGGAAAACAGAGATGAAGTGACTTGCTAAGAGTTAAACAGCAGCTTAGCAGCAGAGCTGGGACTAGAACTCATACTTCTACACCGTGAGCTGAAAGCTCTGTGCCGTACCCCTCCCTCACTGTCCCATGGTGGGCTTGATTTGGCTTTAGCTCTCAAAGCTTCATTGTCATTTGCACAATGAGGACTTTACACTGCCCTGGCAGCGCAGCCTTAAGATGGGTAAAAATTGCTCCTGCGTTGGCTGTTAGGCTCTCTGTAATGTACAGTGGTCTTAGGTGTAGTAAGAATCCCAGCAAGCAGCTGCAAAGAGAGAGGAGGGCATGTGATTCTTGATTCCTGTCTGTTGCACTTCTGCTAGCTAGGTGAGGACATCTGCTATGGCATTCAACAATGCCAATAGCTTTTTCACATGGTGTTTTATGTCTTTTTCTTAGTTACAAATACCTTTATCTTAATGAAACCAAAATAAAGGACTAAAATCTCCAGTAAAACGGAGACTAATTCCACACCAAACACGTTGTTGACTTTAACATATGACTTTGGCAAGGAGACCCTGATTCAAGTCCAGTGATACCTCTACTAAGGTGAAGTTTATGGTTCCTTTGGGATTTGTGTGACACTAGCATCTAGGCTGGGACTCCAGACATCAAGTAATTTCCTTAGTGCAGTGTTAGACATATGGCAGTAGGCTCTCTGTGTGCCCATAGACATGTAATTACAGTGTGTTGGAGCAGACTCCATTAATCATGTCTGCTGCAGCATGTTAATTGGTGCGCTCCAGCAGCCTCTGTATCTCATGTGTTCAGTGTCCCCCCTCATGTATTCAAGTGCTTGGTGGGAGCACTTTAACTAAAGCTCATCAAACAAGTTTTAGTTAAAGCGCCCCACCACCATTTTGAAGTGTGGGATGCTGAATACATGAGACACTGCAAGTGCTTTAATTAGAGTGGCTCTCAGAGTTCCTCTGCTTAAAGCATCCCCGCACCCCTACCCTTGGAGCGTGTGTAAAGACACCGTCTGTCTCTGGCATGTTTAATAGCATGTGCTCAGGACTGTGTGAAGCAAACGTGCCATCCATTTTGGGTCATAGCATGCACAGAACAAATGTTGATGTGCCCCACTGCCACGCTGCCTTGTGCAGCCTTCTGACCACGCCAGCTTGTGCTAATGTGGATATTAAAGCTTCATAAATTCTCTCAGGAAACAATTTCATTTCAGTCCATCAGGACAGTGCAACTCTTCCCTCCTGCCTGCCTGCTTATTCCCCTTTCCCCTGCCCTCAGGCAGTCTGTGGCAGAGTTAAAACTGGGCTTGCAAGGTTGCGAGGGGTTTTTTTCCTCCCTTGTCTGTTTGACTAAAGGCAACTTCAGCTTAGTGGAGTGTGGGCCTCCCTCCCTCCCCCACCTGATCGATATTTTAATGTGACTTATCAGAAAGAGCAGTAATTGTTTACTTAAAACCTCAGGATCCCATAAAGGGCGAGGGAAAAGTGTCCACGCAAAACAGAAGCTCTGGGCACCTGCCTGTGGCTGCGAAGGCCCAGTGAGGACGCCTACCTCGGAAATGATGAGCACACGGGCGCTCAGCACAACGTGATGTGATAGCCTGGTGGTAGCCAGCACTCCAAGCATCAGTTGGCTGTTTTGCAGGATGGTAAGTGCTTTCCTGGGTATGCTTCAAGTAAGCAAATGGAAAAAAACCCCTCTTTTGAGGTGGGGGAATTATTGATGAGAAGGAGTGGAAAAGAATTGTAAGTGCAGTAATGATATTATGCACTTCCACCGCTGAAATGTTCTTAAAAGCCTGGTGCCTCTCTCAGATTAAATTGATGTTTTAAATGAAAACAAACTTTTTTTTTTTTACAGTCTACAGGCCCCATCTTGCATTATTAAAGTTGACTGGAGATTTTCATCATCGTCAGTGGGCACAGATAAAGCCCAGTAGAAATCTTAACTGCACCTTGTAAAAGTCATGCTTAAATTAAACCTGATTAGACTTTCCCAGGCTTTGTGGAATGTGTTAGGTTTCTTAACATGTCTTGGGATTGTCCCTTAAGCATTTTCCAGTCCTCACAATGGTTTTCTCCACCGGGGAGCTCTTATGATAACCTGCAGTTGTTTCAACTCCACATTTTAAACCCAAATTCAACAGAAGAGAGGAAGAAAAATGGAGTTTTGTTCTACTGTGGTGTGTATAGTCCACTGTCTCCCTGTGCTGACAGGTAACCCTCTTGTTGCCTTGGCTGTTTGCTGAACTGCCATTTATCAACCTTACAAGGATGATTTCTCTTTCTTTTATTACCATTTGTCTCCTGAAATATGACTCCTGAACTGCTGGGAGCTTCTATGTAAATGTAGTGGCCTTACATGGCAGTGATTGACAAGCCCTGCCCCAGTGTGTTTGCTTATGGTAAGATCTTGTGCACCCCGTTTTGATCAGGTGTTGAGATGAATTCAATAGTGTGGGAAGGGATAAACATGAACATAGTAGAAAATTAGAAACCTCAAATGTCAGTGTGCAGTGCTTGCATCCCTTTTGTATTTGTTTTTACTAATAGTAAAGCAAGCAAAGACATATTCCAAGGAAACCAACTCCAGATCCACAGCTGAAAATGATTTCTTGACTAAATATTTTTTTTTAAATGCAGTTAGGACTCAACTGTCTAAATTAAGGCCCTTTTATTAATGTAGGGAACTATATGACAGCTTGATATCCAGACTGGATTACAGACTCTTCTTCCTTTTAAAGCAGGTTCCCTTTTGGCTGCAATTTCCCAGTAATCTGACCTGTTAGTCCAGACAAATCGGTGTGGCAGCACTGTGCAGGCATTCAAATGCACAGTGATTTACCACTCCAGAGCATGCATGCTTCAAATAAGAGATAAAATAAACTAAGGGTGATAAGGAAAAGGAGTCATTCCCATCCCTTCATCAGCAGGCCTGATGTGCACAAAGGTAAAGATGGTGAAAGCAGGTGAATAATTGCACTGAAAAAGAGAAGCCTAGCATATTAACTGGAAGAAGTAGGTTATTGTTTGGATTGTGTGTCTGCCAAGAGTCAGCTCAGAATTTGGTTAGCTACGTCTACATTAGAAAAGTGATTTGATTTAAAAACAAGCCTGGGTTAACTGGTCCAGCCTTAAATGGTCCTGACCCTAGATTAATCCAATTTATTGGTAACTTACTGATGCAAATGAAACAGAATTATATCAATTTAAGAGCATCTATGTTAGGGGTTTGCACTGGTTTACCTAGATGAATTTTTTAACAGTCTGTATACAGGAAAGATGCAACATTTTGTAGATAGAAGAGTTGGTCGCAGGTTTTCAGCATGTAGCATGTCATGGAGACGGCTTTGTTAGGGCTTTGGTATGTGAACAAGCTCCCGTGAGGTCTATAATGAGGGTAAGGATGTTCACAGTATGAGCTACATTGTAGCAGATGCTAGTGTGCCAATTATACGACAATAGTACCTTACTAGCCCTCAGGGAAAGAAGGATAAATTGCCATGAATAAACTTTACCACAGGATTAAAGTATGATCATGTACAGTTACCATGGTAGAGCTTGGCGTGATACAAATCACTGCCTTCATTTATATCAGTAATTGTTCATGTGCCCATTCCCTAGGAGTCCAAAGGATTCCTCCATTCCCAGTTCTTCCATGACATAATTCATGCTCTTGTTTTTTTCACAAATAATTGGAGCTGTGAAAGCATCAAAAGAAAGAAACCGGATCTTCTGCTTGCCATTGAATGGGATGAAAATAGATTTAGGCCCACCATATATAGCAAATGCTGGTTATTCCTAAATGAGAACAACATATTTGTTGGTGATTGTCAAGTGACTATGTCTCACTTTTATTAATTATTTCAGGAATCCTGGTGAATGTCCTCAAATTAAATATAGGCCTCTTACACACTTCTATTCTGGCCTCACAGACATATTGCGTAAAATATGCATCTCTTAACAGTCTCTGACCCTGATAGTTATATCCATTTGTCAAGAAATAATGCATATAGAGATGACTCCAAGCAATGGACATTTACAACATTCTTCATAATGTGTTTCTGTTACACACGTGTTAGGTGTAATGAAAACTTTTAAGCAACTGATTAGTTCAACATGCTTAATGTGTTTCTGCCACGTTTTCATTTAATCTTTGATTTGTAAAGCTCTAGTATACCCCAGTAGGTACCAGGAAAAAAAATATGGATCTTTGAGAATACGGCACATTAACCACTGTTAGGGCTCTTGTACACACCACGATTTTTGCCCTTTCATGCGTTGCAAATGTGTGTCTGTTTGCACGAGTGGGATTTCCCAATGCTTTAAAAGTCATTCTTGTGCACTAAACTAAAACTCCTCGTACATAATTTAGTTTGGCTCGCCGGAAATTAGTGTTATGTTCATGGGTTCATTGCGTGCAAACACAAAGGCACTCAAAGACATGTAATGAGCCTCTTTGTCCACCAGATGGCGCTGCTACTTTTTTATAGTTCACCCCTTTGAATTGCTTTTACTTTCAAATAGCTTCTGCTTTATTTTTCTTGTGTGGTTTGCCAGCTCCCTGCTTCCACAGCTGTGTGGCAGGGCACAGGCACAGGGTGGGTGGAGGGCCCTGGGCTGGGGAGGTAGTGCTAGAGTGTCCCGTTCTCTTGCAGCACCAGCCAGGGAGCCGGATAAATTTGTTTGAAAACCTAGTGCATGTAAACACAGCTGCAACGCTCCAAGGCTTAATTCGTTTGAAAACCTAGTGTGTGCTATACCTGAAAGAAGTTTCACCAGTTCTAGAGGGAAAAGAGCATTCTATTGTCATGTGAAAATATAGCCTGTTTGCAGTCCATTTATTAAAAACTGACAGAAAAGAATTTTGTTGTTGTTATTTATTGATATTAATGAAGTACCTAACTTGCAGTTATATAAGGTGCCTTTTGCCTGCAAGCTCAGTAGTTCAGTACAGTTAGTATCCACAGTCATCCTATATAAAGAGCTTTGTGGGCTGATAAGCAATTTTTAATAAGGAAAGGGGAAAAAGGAAGAGTAAGAAAAAAAGTTAATGTTAACCCTCTCTGCTTATAAACAGACATTGTGTTTGGAGTGGGATCAGCTGTGTAGGGATGTGTCATCACCTCACTGATCCATTCACTGGTGTCTGTACAGATCACTAGGGTGGTTGTCCCAAAGGGTTAGGTCCCTTCAGGGGTGCTCCTGGTGCTTCAGGGCCTGATCTTATGAGAGAAAGGCAGGGATGCCATCGCACAATACACTTGCCATGGGAGTCCCCTGAAAAGCCTGCCCCCTGCCTCCATCCCCCATGCTTGTAGATGTGTGCCCTGATGCCTGTACCGTGGGAATTCCCTGCAGCAGTTTCCCCCTATACACTCCCAAATGCCTGCCCTAAGAATTCCCCTTGCAGGGGGATTTTTGAGGCACAAAAGTGTGGCCCCTGAAGCCTCAGGAGTGCCCCAGGTTGGGGCGCAGCAATGTGTGTTGCAGGAATCCTTTGCATGGGGGTTCCCCCTTCCATGCTTGCAGGTGCATGCACTAGAAATCCTCCTGCAGGGGCATTACTGGGGTATGCAGGATTTGGTCCCTGAAGTCACTGGAGTACCTGCCCAGGATGCCAGGAGAGTATGAGCAGCCCCAAGCTCAAAAAAGAGGTGCAAAGCGTGACTAGGAATCCCCATGCTCAAAGATTTCTGCATTTGTAGCATGCCATACTTTTGACTCGGATCAAGTGTAGTCCCTGTTCTAATCAGGGAGATACCATGAGCACCCAGACTAGGAGCAGATGTGTGTAGCTGAGAGTGGAGACCTGTTCACTGCACTGTGGACAGGCACCATTATGAGAATCTACTATAGTCTCTGAATGGGAGGGTCTCGGCTACCCAATTTATGGTGTTGGGGGATTAGTTTTGGGTTCTCCCTCTAGCTTGCTCCTTCAGTCTTTTGTGTAGGGGCAAGTGAGACTCGGGACCATCTGAACTCCGAGGCCTCTGGGTTTGGAGCTTGCACGTATGTAAGATGCCTGCCATGGATTTGGGAATATCTGAAGCCCCAGATGGAGTCTGGGAGGATACTTGCCAGCGGTAGCACCACAAAGACTTGAATGATTGAGCTCTACTCAGCTGATTAGAATTCAGAACTGATTTAGCTGATTTTGCCTGAGACATGAAATTATTTAAAAAAACCAAACAAAACAACCCCCCCCCCAAAGGGCTAAGATACCTGTTCACTTGGGTTTTGTGCCACCACAAATTTTTTTATGGCAAAGGCAAAGTCTGTTTGCAACCTCTGACTGTTTTCCTCTTCTTCCTTTTCTTGTTCTCCTTTTCCCTTGTCTCCTTCCCCTTTCTTTTTCAGTGTCGACAAAGAAAGCAACTGTGGCTTTGCTCAGAGCCTATGTGGTGAGGCTGAGGGGAGCACATCAAACATTTATGGTGGCTCACATCATATGGGAAGATCCCCTGAACTTTAGCACAAAGTCCAAGCACTCAGTGAACAGCATGTCTTGTTACAGGTACAGTAAAAACTCTTTTAGCTGCCTCAGATAAAGTTCCCTGTAAATGGAAATGAGTTAAGTGTTCACAGAAGCTCAGAAATCCCCAAGCCTGTATTATGTACCGCAATTTCTATTTGCTTCCTCTCAGAGTCATACTCAAAACAGTGTCTCTGGGCTTCTCACTTTACGCTGCAAAGAAACCTTCAGCCTTTGTGTTTGCAGTTTGAGGACCCCTCCTTAGTACCTAGCACTTTTGTAAATTATACCACATGCCTGTCTGCATCTTTAGGTGTCTGAACACCTTTGTGAGTCTGGTCCTCTGAAACAAAGGTTGAGATTCATCAATATGGGTAAAGATTGCATCAAAGCTTACATAAACAAGGCTAGATTCTTTTACATCTATTAGGCACATAATGCATTTAGGGACCTAAATGCAATTCTTGTCTACCCTGTTCATGTCCCTGAAAACCCATTAATGCAATTACATTTGTAACAACCGCCATCTTACCTTTAAGGCTGTCACAAAAAAAACAACAGGGAGGAGAACCCACTCACATCTTGTATTAACAGTTCTACAGAAAGTGTTGTGGCATCTTTTCTGGTTGCATGCAGTGTCCCGGAGCCTTTCTGGGCCTGCCCTTTGTTTGGCTGGATTTGGTCTTCCAATTAAAAAAAAAAATTGTCACCAGAGGTAATATCCAAAATGGAACATACATAACTAGATTAACAGGATCATTGAATCCAGGCTCTAAAGAGGAAGCTACCTCCAGCTGGAAAATATGATTGATAAAAATGGCTTTTAAAATGGCTCAGAAATATCCCTAGGGAATATGCTGTAGTTTCGTGGAGAAAGGAAGAGAGTTCCATTTACTATTAGTGGGTGTAAAATATTTTCCTTGTTTATTTGTTAGGAAGCTTTTATTTTAGGGTCTCTAACTATTTTTGCATATGTTATTTCTAGGTTTGTGTTTTGTGAGCATATAGGATCAAGAAGATCCTCAGAAGTTCTGAGTACCTGCCCCATCTCCCCGCAGAACTAGTGGGAGCTCCAGGTGCTCAGCATCTCTAATAATAAAATGGTCTGAATATGCCAGGGAAGACTGCCCTTCTGTTGTAATACTTGTGCCCTCTGAACTTGCTCAGGGCTTCCTCTGAAGGGCAGAACCACACATTTATTATTTGGTTGATGAAAGTATTTAGGAAC